AATCATACATCACTGTAAACTAACAAATTAAATTACTTGGTTTGATGGAGGCAATGCATGACTATTTTTTGTTAACAAGCTCATAGCTGGGTAAACCCGCGTAACATTTGTACTAGTGGGTACACTGAGTTGTTGAAGAAAATTTGAATCATATGGTGCTTAACTATGTGAAGGGCCTATATAGCTTGACTTCTTGGTTTTCCCTACAAAACAAATTTAAATTTTTTAAGTAAAAAAAATATATATTTGAATTACATCTAATAGTTAATAAAAATATAAAATTTCACTTACCAGATGAGACAGCATCTTTTGATGCCTTCTTTTTTCGTTTCTCCATAGCATTTTTTAATCTGGCATTACTTACTCCTTTCAACCTTGCCGACAGAGGATTCAATATTGGTGCTTCATCAACAAAGCAACCATTTGCGTTACAATCATCATCATTGTTATCATTCAAAAGTATGTCATTGCTCTCTTTATTAACTTCACCCTTTGACTTGATCGTATCCTTTTCAATCACTTCCTTCATCTCTCCCAATTTTTCATGGCAACTCTAGTAGCACTTTCTGACTTTGCTCCCTTACTCAATATATTATAAGTCATTCGCATCAAAGTATTTCGACGCAATGTAACAAATGGTTTACCTTTTACCTATAATAATTGACTTGCTCATTTGCATCCAATCCTTTCTTTGCATCTTTTGTCCGGCGCTTCAATATATGTTGTGAAGGTATTTCAGTCCAAGATTTGTCGTTTAGTACCCTTAGAGCATGACGACACAACAAACCCATGGACTCGAACATTTTGTAGCTACAAGAAACCGTGCCATTTGACTCGTTAAGTTAGACAATTTAAACTCTTATGTGACCCTCCTCATTAAGTTCAAAAGAGTAAACTGTAACAACTCTCATGTTCATGCATTGTCACTGCTAAGCTATTTAAAAACTCTATTTTCAAATATTTTAAACATTTTCCTAGTGTAGACAGTAGCAGCATGCTTCAAAATTCCACTAATTTGGGCAAATCTAGAAGGGAGACCTTGATTGCAACGATAAGACTCTTCTGATTCACTTATACATATTTTTGCTGCTTGTTTATCATAATGATGCGCAAATTCAATAAGTCTCATTGTCTTGGTAGAAATTTCGTGGAAAACGTTAGTCGTGCTCTCACTTCTTTGTGAATATTGTATTTGACATGTGAAAGTATCATGGCTAAATGCCGGACACCGTTTGGCACGAAGCGTATACAACATATTCATCCATGAGCACCCTGTAAGGTTGACTTTTGCAACTAGCTCATCCCAAGTTGACTGGAATTCCAATTATGTCTCATAATATTTAAGACATTTATTAAACAAATGTCTAAAATCAGGGTTTGCAAGAGACTTGACATATTTTTTGCACAATTCTGAGATATGTGCCACGAGCATAAACGATGACATACCCCAGAAAAAACTTTTTCAATGCCATTTTCCATAGCTTGACACTAATCAGTAAAAATTGTCTTTAACTTTTGACCTCCCATTGATTCTAAAAAAGTATCAAATAACCAAGTAGTTTATGTTTTCTTATCCAGTAAAAATGCACAACTGAACAATACGTTTTTCCAATGGTGATTAACGCTGACAAAAGAAGCACAAATCATGTTATACCTATTGGTACGATCTGTAGTATCAAATGCTACAACATCCCCAAAACACTCATAGTCAAGTTGCGACCTTCCATCTCTCCAAAAAAAGTTTGTCTTCGATTTTCTTGATTTACTTGCACAATGTAAAAGAACATGGGATCCTTTGCTTGCTTGTGCTTGAAAAGGTTGATCAAACTTTGAGCATCCCCTACTTTAAACATGACCATTTTTTCCTTATTCACAATTTGTAGCAATCTCTTTGTGTAAAACCTACATTTTGAGACCCACTAGCTTCTTTTGCTAAATAAGAATATGTATTTGTAGTCCTTATTCCTGCAGCTGCCATGGTTTTAATCACACCCAAATGAGCTTCAGAAACTTTTCTATTTGATCTAAAAAACTGCCTCTCTTCTGGTTTAGCAAGTTTGTGACTGTGTTGAGAAAAAAATTGAGCAACTTTTAACGTACCATCCGTTTGTACTGCAAATCAAATTCCATCTTTGCAACCTGTTCTTTTCTCTAGTTTATAAGAATTGCTTGCTTCTGATGGGTCACCATCTACCTTAAAACCTTCTTTTGAACAAAGATAACAAACTTCTCTTAGTTGATTCTTTCTATTATATATCTTTTGTCCCTTACGAACACTAAATCCAATTGTCGTAGCATAGTTGTTATAGAGATCATAAGCTTCCCTTTCATTTAGTACAACTTTTCCCAAGAAAACATCATGGGAATTCTTTGTTATTCACAATGACTAGATCTTCTTCTCTATTATTTTCTTCATCACTTTCTATATCAATGACTGGATCTTCTTCTTGATTATTTTCTTCATCACTATCGGTATCTATGAATACTGTACAAGAAAAATTTGTACATAAACGAAAAATCTGTACGTAATTGAAAATAGCAGACATATGACAGGAGCCAAATAACAAGTTAGAAATGAAAAGAGAAAATGCAAAAAAGACAAACCAAATAGGCTGATAGGTTAAATATTTTACCAGTATCCATATTCTTCCACTTGGTGAAGCTTTGCTTTTTTGAGAATGCTGCAAAGCCTACTTTTAGGGTTTCAACTAAAAAATAATATGAGTTAGTTCATGAAAACCAAATCCCAAGAACTTACGCAAGCTGGAAACCAAAAGATGAAACAAAACTCAAGAAAAATAATTGCAGTCAAATTCAAACAAAATTTTTTAGTACTTGTAGCCTGAGATTTCTGGGTTTTGTAGTTTGTGAATTTTAATTGTAGGGGATGTGATTCAAGCGAAAAGGAAGGCGATTCAAGTGAAAAAGAAGCAGCAAATTTTTTTGCTTTTGGCGGAAAAAAAGAGGGTGGAATACAAGGGGCGGCAATTATTGGTTTTGGCGGCGTTAGGGAAGATGAAAATCCAACAAATGTTTTTCATTTAATAATTATTATGCCACGTGTCATTTATTTATTGGTGGGTACTACCAGCTGTCAATGCCACGTGGTGATATGATACCATCTAATAATTTCTCGGATGACAGATGGAAGATGCGAGCAAGAAAGCAAAAGAGCCAGTTCTCCTAAATCCAAAAATTATAAATTTTCACATTTTTGTTTTTTGAAAGTAGGCTATGATTTTGAGTTGTGTTCTTGAGAATGAATCAACCAAACAAGTAGTATTAGCCTGACACTCAAAAGTGTTTATGAGTTTAAAGATCTGGATTTGAGTTGAATACCAAACGGAAACTTGGTTTCCCCCCGTGTTTCATAGTCCTTGTATTGCGCTCCATGTAATTCCTACATATACTTCCTCTAAGATGAGAATGATGCATAACAAAATTTCCGAATTATTAAGGTTCTATTTCTCTTGTTGTATGGGCTTTGTTATTTTTATTTTATTGCCCTTGCAATTATTGAAGGAAGAAGGAAACTCTCAAATTTAAAATATAAAAAATTGAAAATACTTGTTTCTTTTGGCATGAAATCAATAATTTAGGCCATTATAAATCTCAGTATCAAGAACTGCATTGTCACGATATCAATTGTGAATAATAAATGGATGGAACTTTTAGTTTTATAATCTGAAGTCTCAACCCTTATCTGCATTAAAGTATCAAATAAAGTAGGTCATGCCTTTTATAATACAACACTGCCTCAATATGTTTATATTATTAGAAAGGGGCGTTTACAAGTTTGGTATCAAACTCAGTACAAATAAATAGTGAGTTCCTCATTCATGTGTATACTAAATTATAATAATGACTAACTGTAATAAAGTCAAGTCAACGCATCACACGTGCGTACTAAAAATCGGATTGGTGAATGGCAGAAGCTCTAAAACCTCGCTTGGAATTTCATATCGATAGATGAAAGTTAACCCACTAAGGCTATCTCCAACCAAAGCCTGGCCAGAGGGTTGTTTTAGCCTTTGGCCCTCCATTAAATTAATATTTTAATGAACAGTGCCGGACCATATTCCTTACCATTTTCAACTAAGGGCCAAAGGGCCATAGGGCTCGTTTTAGCCCTGTCACAAAAAATCATCTCTAACAAAGGGCCAAAGGGTTATAGTATGGAATGTGAAGAATTGAAATAAAATGAGGTAATATAGTATGGAACGGTGAAAAATATGTGAGAAATGGTGTAAAAAAAATTAGAAATTAAAAAAAAAATGTTCCAAAAAAAAAAGGGCCGGGCTAATGGAAAAGAACAAAAAACAAAAAAATGAAATTGGGCTAGCCAATAGGCTGGCTAGCTGGCTGAAAATGGCCAGCCGGTTGGCCATTTTTTTGTCCAGTAGGGCCCACGAGCCCTTTGGTGTAACCTTCGGTTGGAGATGATTTTCGAGTTATTTTCGATCATCTGGACTCTTCGGTTAGAGATGGCCTAAGAGAATGAGGCTCAGGCCCAAAGGGGACCCAAAACACAAAGCTTTGAACGGGCAGGGGGAGATGTGAATGTGATGATGGTAGGAGAATTGGTATATGTATTTTTTTTTGGTCGAAAAGAGAATTGTTATGTGTATAGATTGAGGAAATGCAGGATTAGGAACAGGAGTGGAGGAGGAGGAGAGAGAGAGAGAGAGAGAGTAGAGAGAGGGGGACGCAAAACACAGCTTTAAACGAGAGCCATTCGTTGAATGATAGGCTCTATCCATAACCTCATCCTCTCCTCTTCTCTAGTCCTCTTGGATTTATTTCAGTCACTCCCTTCCAACGACACACTACACTAGTACCTCATCTCATCAACTTGGTTTTATCTCAATCATTCATAATGAATATATAACGACCTTGTGATTTTTGTGACTGTCTTCCTTCCTTCCCTCCTTACCACTGCTTAGCTATATCCTCCCTCCCACCCACCCTGCCCTGAGCTAGTTAGTGCCTAGCTAGCTCCACTCCGCTCCGAGAATGGCTTCGGCTATTCTTTCCGTGGCCAAACCATCTCTTCAGGTTCATATATGCAGCTACCTTCTCGTTTTCTTGCTTCAATTACTTTATGCTTCTTACTTTGATCGCTCAGACCTATATGGATATTGTGTTGCATGCTAGATATACACTTCTAATATATATACATATGCATACAACTGAATACAAGCACACATACAGGAGTACTAGGCTTGCTCATTAGTCAAACTAGTTAAGCGCGCATGCAGAGTACCGTACGTTAATTAGTTAAACTGATCACTAAAAATTATAGCTGGCTAGTGTTTGTTTAACTTGCGTTATCTATACATACACACGATGCTCAAAATAATTAAAATTATAATTTGCAGGCCAATGGAAAGGGATTTGCAGAATTCTCAGGTCTCCGTACCTCATCAGCTTGCCTTCCTTTCGGAAGGAAGACCTCAGACGATTTATTCTCAGTCATTGCCTTCCAGACCTCTGCTGTGAGTACCACTACTACTACTACTACTACTTTGATTTCTTTGCCTTTAATTTCCTACTGTCCGTGTCTTTTCCTACATACATACGTAATCATATCAGTAAATAACGTTTCCTTGATCATCGATCGATCGTAACAATTAAGGAAATACCAGTTGTGGTTATCAAATCTCATAACTAAACAACCAGGGAGTAGCCACTTCTTACTGGCTAGGTATTTCTCTTCACTTGTAAATGAAAGGTCTTAGGTTCAATTCTCGTGAAAGATGAGTTTGAACCACATTACTGCTAGCCTATTGTGAGGTTCAAAAACATTTTCATCATAAATGCTTCGTTAAATGCTTCGTTCGATTCTCGTGCTTATGCTTCTTGCATGAAGCATTTAAGTTTTCCAGGATTCACTTGTATTTTTATTAAGAATTGGTTCCAAAAACATTTTCACCATAAATGCTTTTGGCCATTTTAAAAGCACTTCCAAATGAGCCCTTAGCAACTAGCTCTCCAAAATCCAAACGCAACTTGCAAATCTGAGTTTGTGGTTTTTTTTTCCTTCTATTTATCTATTGTGTGTATATGTTGTCTCGTATTACTTTAATTTCTTTTAATTCTTAATTTTATATATAAAAAAAAATTATTTTATAACTTATACAATTAGACTACTTTACTCTTTTGACATGAACTGATTTCATTTCACGTGAGGGCATAATTGCTCACTTTGAAAAATGTATGTTGTCTCGTATTTAAATGCATTATTGTAAATGTAACGGTGTAATGTGGATTTGTAAATTTCTAATTGGGAAGGTGGGAAGCAACGGAGGATACAAAAAAGGAGTAACGGAGGCGAAGCTAAAGGTGGCTATAAATGGATTTGGAAGAATTGGAAGGAACTTCTTGAGGTGCTGGCATGGACGCAAGGACTCCCCTCTTGATGTCATTGCCATCAACGACACTGGAGGCGTCAAGCAGGCATCCCATCTCCTCAAGTACGACTCTACCCTCGGTATCTTTGATGCTGATGTCAAGCCCGTTGGCGATAATGGCCTCTCCGTTGATGGCAAGATCATCAAGGTCGTGTCTAGCCGCAACCCCATAGACCTGCCCTGGAAGTAAGCTGGCTTAATGCGTTATAGCTTTATTAATACACACACACACACACACACACACACCCCTACATCTACATGTACATGCATATACATATGATCGATTGATTATGTTTTAATTTGTCAATGGCTGCATGGCAGGGATTTGGAGATCGATCTGGTGATTGAAGGGACTGGTGTGTTTGTCGATAGGGAGGGCGCAGGCAAGCACCTCCTGGCAGGGGCCAAGAAGGTGCTTATCACTGCCCCTGGAAAGGGTGACATCCCCACCTATGTGGTCGGAGTCAATGCTGATGCCTACAGCCCCGATGAAACCATCATTAGCAATGCTTCTTGTACCACCAACTGCCTTGCCCCCTTCGTCAAGGTCCTTGACCAGAAGTTTGGTAATTACATTTTTCTCATCTTTTACTTGTATATTTTCTTTCTTTCACCAGATTCCTTCATTACCAAATTTGTTCAAGTGTTGTGTGTACCTAGTACGTAGTTCGTACGCATACATGTCAGTTTCTTACAAGGATGTTATTTTATACTGCAGGCATCATCAAGGGCACCATGACTACCACGCATTCCTACACTGGTGACCAGAGGCTACTTGATGCCAGCCACCGCGACCTAAGGCGAGCACGGGCTGCTGCTCTCAACATCGTTCCCACCTCCACTGGTGCAGCAAAGGCCGTGGCCCTAGTCCTTCCAAGTCTGAAGGGCAAGTTAAATGGTATTGCCCTGCGTGTGCCCACCCCAAACGTGTCGGTGGTGGACCTTGTTGTCCAAGTAACTAAGAAGACCTTTGCAGAAGAGGTGAACGCTGCTTTCAGAGACAGCGCCGAGAAGGAGCTCGCAGGTATCCTTTCTGTTTGTGACGAGCCCCTTGTCTCGGTCGACTTTAGGTGCACAGATGTCTCCTCCACAGTCGACTCTTCATTGACAATGGTAATGGGCGATGACATGGTCAAGGTCATTGCTTGGTACGACAACGAGTGGGGTTACTCCCAAAGGGTTGTTGATTTGGCTGACATTGTCGCCAACAACTGGAGGTGATCATCCTTTCAAAATTCAAATTAGCTCCTCCTCCTCCTCCTCCTCCTACTTGTCATTCCAGGCGGCCGGATCCATGTTTTTTGGTTTTCTTTTACCGTTCTGCGTTTATAATTTCTACTTTTCTTTCTTTTTCTTTTATTCTTCTTTTCTGATTAATAATGAGAATCTTGTTGAAACCATTTTCATCTTCTTTTCATTTTGCAAGATGAGTCTTGATGTATGTAGATCAAGGTGAACAAGTCATTTAAACTTGAAAGCATGTGTTGTCGATCTCTTGATTATTATTTTTTGGTTATATACATAACATTACACATATGTATATCTGTTGCGATGAGGACTACACATATAACAATTGCTATAGCATAACTCGCACTAATATTTGAAACTAAATGATCAACCTTGTACTTTTACCAACTCCTTTTCAGTGTTCATACTTCATACCTAACGTGGTCTCATATGGTTTGCGTGATGAATTGCTTGGAAATGAGAATTAGGATATTTATGAGCCTGTTTACTTACAAGTAAGGAATGACTAATATTCTCATTCATGTCATATCATGCGTTAACAACCAATAAACGAAAAAACCCATGTCATGTCATATCATGTGCTAACAACCGATAAACAAAAAAAACCAGGTTTAAGAATAAGTTAGCTAGGAAATTATTCATCTCATATCCATTCCTTCACGTACCAGTTTCTTGTTTCGTTTATGCAAAAGTGTGATGTTATCCACACCCCTCTTTTTACGTCCATACACCCCTTGTTAATATCTACACAGCTTATCCAACAAAACAATTGGCGACAAAATATATAATAAATTCATCTTAGTAATTTCACATCGATAATCCATAAATACGAATGTGAGCAATTCAAATAATAAAATCTTGAAACACTACAAGTACAAACCATCAGACAGCACAGCAGTAATCGTCAAAACTCTGGTGTTGTATATATAATAATATATAAGCATGTAACTGCGCAACTGAATTAAATTGTAAAATCGAAAAACAATGAAAAAGGCAACATCTAGAGAACATATGCACAGTACTAAAATCTTTGAACATCCCGTGCGCTAGAAGCCTAGAACAACCAGTGTTTCCTCCTTGGCTTCTGTTGAATTGGCATGTCTGCAAACAAGACACGCAACTAAGATATTAACCAAAATCTCTCCTTGTACTGCATTTGACACCTATAAAATAATTCTCTTTCTGATTTTTAAATCAAACAAAAACACAAAAAATAAACAAAAGAAAAACACCTCGGACTTCATATAATGAATTGTAATGAACCTCCGACCAAAAACTCAGCCACAACTCTGCATTATTTAGAAGGAAAAATAAGAATGTTAAAATCTGAAATTGTCCTATAGCATTTTGCAAGACAATTTTTCATCTAAACCTACGACTACGAGACTAGAGAATCTCTTCAGAAATTTTTTTTTTCATTTGGAGAGCATAAAAGGGCAAAGATAGTTCCATCTACCACGTTTTGGTGGCTGGTACTGGGGCATAATTTCAATAAAGCAAGTATCTCTGAATGATGTCAAAAGGCAAATCTTTGCTGCAAACTGCATTCAAACAAGATTATAAAACATCATAAACTACAAGAGAAGAATTGCACACAACACTATGCCAACAAGACACTTTCCAAGCTGTGAGCACTGGTCTATATTTATTTATTTCTACAAAAAAAATTATCTACTAACATTTGTACTATTGCATTATTTTTCAATAATTTTTTTTATTTGCCACTAAATATTCAATATCAAGTTCCATTTCAAGCTCATGGAGAAATATTTCCAGTTAAAGTGAAAAAGTCTTGATGCCATCATCAATAAATATATTAAATAAAGCTAAGATAAATCACCAATATTATATTATTTTGGTAAGATATGATACACACACACACACACACACACACACATATACATATATATATATATTATATTATATCCCATTAACCTAGAACAAGTATCTATAATCTACAGAAAGAAATTCAGATCCATTGGGACAAATGTAAAAGACCTTGTCAGCTGCTGCTTGTAAAGTAACATGATCTCCCCATTCACCGGATCTGCATCATGTGGAAAACTAAAAGTGAATACAAACCTGCTGTACCAAAAAATAGATGAAACTAGGCCAGAATACATATAAACAGAAGCTTGTTGATCAAATAACCGAACTAATGATCCTAAACAATTTGACATACTTTGCCATTTTCTTGTGATAGCGCTTGTACTTCATAGGGACATAGCCTTCATACAATGAACGATAGTCTTTGAGCTGGAAAGAGGTAAAGTAGTGCACGATAAGCATACTCAAAAAAGGCATTCACTTTCTTGTTCCCCATTAAAAAAAATGTTGAAAATGAGACAATGTGGCACTGAAAGGTCACTATAGATTCTGGTCATGATAATTAAGCTTTGTAGAGAGCACAGGAAGCAGTAGTGCTGAGAGCAAAGACAAGTAGCTATTGGCATTATACCATCCAATGGTTACATGAGTGGTAAGTGTAGTGACTGCGGTGGTAGCAAATGGTGGATGGAGGTTTACTTTAATCAAAATATAGCAGTGGTAATAGTTTTCATTATCTCCTTAATTGATCCTTCATTCCATATCAAATGATCTCCAGTCCTATTTCTAGCCATCTAAATTTTGTTCCTCCTATAGCAAATGGTTACTTCGTGTACACTCTACCTGCTTCACAATCTCTTTCCGAACATGTTTGTGATACTCTGGAGACTTGTACATCTGTTCTGAAAGTGCACGAAACTGCAAAACAATGAGAAAAGCAATCAATATAAATCAAAAGATGGCATACCTAGGACTTTGGATTCTCAGAATTGCAGATACCTGACAATTCCCATCACCAGAAACCTTTACTTCGTATAAACCATAGACATGTAACCTGCAAGGAAGTAAAATGGAAATTCACTAAATTATCACCCAAGAAGAAGTTAAACAGAAGTATGAGAATACAAAACCGATATCTACTTATAGTCCATCAAGATGCTAAGTACATAGCTGCATCACACTCAATGCCTAAATGAGAGTAGAAATAAATTCATCCACATGCTAAACATGTTATAGTTCTGAGTATTGTCATACAAGCGTAATTTGTGTACAACCATCAACCCACACCCAAGGAAAACTACCTCTCCTCGTATAATACCAACAGGTCCAACACCCCAACAAACATGGTAATAAAATATTAGCCTCAATACATCATATGTGCTACTATCATTTTCAGGATTCATGTGGTTTTCCATGCGTTGCAAAGCATGCATATCCAGAGTGAGGTTTGCCAATACCTCCAGCCATTTCCAAGTGTGTGCTTGCATTTTTTTTGTTCCCTTTGAAATATGCATTTTGTTTTACCTGTATTATTCCCATCATCAACCAAAAAGAAGGGGGGCAAATGATAAAAAGGGCTACCTTAATACCTTTTAGGAAAGTTGTCAACCACAAAATAACCAATGCATATTTTTTTATTCCAAAGCATAAACATACCTCTGGAGAAGGCGTTGGTGATCCAAACCAGCATCACTTATGTTGGGGATGTAGGAATTTATCCGTGGAACATGCTGGAATTTTGAAAAGATAGTAATACTATCAGATATAAAGCTATGAACGAAAAGAGTGAACTGAGGGGGGGAGAAAAGGAAATTTCCATTACAGGAACAGATGCCAGGTTGGAAAGGCGTCTAGCAACTGCACCATCTAACTTAGCATACTCTTCTGATAGTACAACAGCAATCATGCGGTCATCCTCAACATCCTGTTGGCTGCTCAAGGAAGTTGAGCTAGAACATTCGCCCACACTGTGAGTCCCGTTCATCATAAACTAGTCTATTTCAAATTCGTCACACTGAAAACAAGTACCAGAATGAGCTTATAAGCTGAGTAGCCTAGTTTGAAATGCTAACAAGAATTTACAACCCTTCAACAAAAGTGAATTCACAACCAATAATCAAAGATATGGCATATTTCTTAATTGCGGGTAAGAAGATTGGTCTTAAACAATTGCAATATATAAATGTAAAGCTATGCTATTGCTAGGCTTGCCGGAATGTGCGCTGTCAATTACAGTCGGGGTAAGATTGTTCTTAGAACTTTGTTGGAGTGATGGTAATTAAGAGTAGTAAGACATGGCTGAATGTGGGTCTTTTCTTTTGGATTCGGATTAATACTTATCCACATAATAATGTCCAAATGCAATAAAAGAAGGAAATGAAAAAAGAAGGAACTGAATAAATTATACGATACAAACTCAAACATGGCAGATTCAGATTGGATCAAAACTCAAAATCAATCAATCGGACAAACAAACAAACACGATAGATAATTGGAAACTGATTACGAACATGGTATTGGAATTGGAATTGGAAGGCGAATAGCGAAAAAACGAGTTTTTTAGTGCTCAATCGAAATATCAAATCAACTGGGGTAATAAATTCAAAGGCAATCAGAAAGAAAGTCAAACAAGTTTGAATCTTGAATGATTCGTCCATCTTGAAATTCCGCGTACAGAATTTGTATGGCGTGCGTAAGCATAAAGTGATGAGCTACAGCTCTTAGGCCTTTACCTGATGATGTTCTTCGTTTCGTTTGATAATTAAGAGGGATGATATCCTTGTCGCCGCCGTGGTCGTCCTCCTTGGCTCGGTTGTTGGATCGGGTATTTGGGTGCCCAGTGCCCTGCCTGCTGCTGTATTTTCTTCTTTTTATTTAATTAATAAAAAAAAATTATATCATACGCGCGGGTAGTGGTAAGTTCGTTAGTTAGATTTTCAAGCACCGGGTACCCGGTACGGGGTATCCCCCGATTCGCGATATTTTATATTTTCCACTTGGTCCCTTAGAATTTCAAGCCGTTCCATTTTCGGTTGCTTATTTCTGCATGTATTCATTCACAGCCAATTTGCCAAATCCACCTATAACCGTCTAGTAGCGAGAGTTTGACCCAGTCTCCAGTTAGGTAGTGTTGTTTGATGTTAAGGATTGAATTGGCATTCTAATTTCTCAAAGAAAAAAATTGAATGTCAACCAACAGATTTTGAAGTTCTATCTATTTCAATCCAATCTTAGACACCAAACAAAAGCCTTCAATCGAGCTTGAACAAGATCATATTTAATTTGTTTTAGTTTCATTTGAAGGCATGAGATGACAATAGTTGGTTGAATAAAATAACGAACGAGCAAAGGAAGAAAGAGTTGTTGTAAACAGCCTATCCACAAACTCCTACGAATCACACCCAAATAGAGTTGTTGTAAACAGCCTATCCACAAACTCTTACGAATCACACCCAAATTTCACACGCGCACAAACACACATCTCGATCGGTTAAGCTTTCTTTCAAACATAATAGCAAACAATATACAATAACGTGACGAATTACACCTTGTTAAGAGAACATCAATGCACAATACAATGAGTCCTAAACATTTGTATTTCTACAAAAGACAATTAAATGAATATAATTCCGTCCTACGAAGCAATTTAATGCAATTTACTACTCCTATCACGGGCTCTCGGGGAGCACCGGGCTTGTCTCCAGCATTTTTGTAGCATCTTCATCCATAGAGATCTTAGTCCAACCAGAATTTCTCATGGAGAAAATCTTGGCACGGTCAAACCCATTTCCTCTAAAGCCCGTTATCTTTGATGACACCATAGGCATCACGAGGACCGCAGATGCATTAATTGAATCCTCTCCAAATCCCAGTGCCAATGCACAAGCAGTCTGCAAAAGGATCCAAGTACAGAGAATTAAAAGTCAATACCAGGATTCTATCTCAGTAAGTTCAACAAGCCAGTTTAGATCACCTTTGCCTTCACTATCGCATCTGAAATCTTCACCAGGATTCCTTGCACAAATGATTTTGCATCTCTAGTTTGTACATCTTCAGATGAAATAGCTAACCTGGAGCACTTACACAGGTGTCAAACAGTGGTGAAATCGACAAACAAACAGAATACTCATCCAGCTCAAATGTGAAAGCATATGCTACAACATTTTTCTTAATTAAAACAACGTCATTTCCACTCCAGCATTGCTATCAATATGCTACAACATTGAAATCATAAAGTTGCATAAAAGAATGTATTGTACCTGCCCACGTCTTTTGAAATGCTTGAAGACACCACAGAAACTAATGATGGATTATCTTTGACTTCAGCACCTGAAATTTAAAAAGTTCACGTCTTGATATTCTGCCTACTTAAAATTTTAAAATATCAATCAAATACCTTTGGAATCATCAGGTGCCAGCAAAGTAATGCCGACGAACACGGACATCATTCCCAGTATGAACATTGTTGTCCTTAGTGCATCCAATACCTGTTTTGAGCACAACAAATAAGCTTTCCACATGACCTCAGATATTTTTTTTTTTTTTTTTTTGGGGGGGGGGGGGGGGGTTGGTGGGGAGAGAGAGAACCTGGTATTCTTGAAAATATACAAATCCTGTACAAATGGAAAAGAATGTCCAAGCAATTTGAAACATAGGAACAATAAGAATTGCATCGAAAAAGGATAATCCTTCATTCAACCGAGCCATCTGCACAAGTAGAATCAGAAAGGTATTCATATATAAAAGCTAAATAAAGCACCATAGCATGCCATTGCAGAAATTTGTAAACCAAGTAATCTAAATTTAATTCTGCAATAACTGATACCCAAAATCCAGCTGTACTTAGAAATAAAAGGAGCATGGAGTATGTGAACCAGCTATGTATCTGATAACTACTAGACAAGGCCAAACGCAGCAGGTTAGATCTGCCAAGAAAAAACAGAGGAATTAGAAACAGAAGGGAATTACAAGATTGCACCACTTGCGTTACACAAAGAAAACTCTCTTGGAAAGGTAACTTACAGAGATTTTGCAAACAGCACTGAGAATGATCCAACAGCACCTGAAACTATAGCATAGGAAAAAGGAAGCAGCATATGCCAGTAGGGTCTCAGATCCTGGCCAGAAACAGCATGCAAAAGTTCTCCTCTCCTGTATATCCAGAAATTGATGTAAAAGAAATTGGTTGGAGCCAACCAATAAGATGGAAGAATTCATCATTTAATTCTCACCTGTAAATGGAGTGATGCAAGGCAACAACTAAAACCAAAATCATACAGTACAAAAGGAATGCAATATTGCTGTATTTCTCGGCCAGCTGCTGAGGTGTGTATACTGTAAGAAAAACAATTAAACCATAAATGAAGTCGATTACTTTTTCTTTTGTGGAGAAGGTCTTTTGCGCAACCGTTGTATACTATGGCCCTCTCACAATAACCAGTCGTGTGACCAGCACACATGGGGTTCGATGTGATAAGGCTGTTGTATACAATGTTTGCAGGGAAGAGTGTTGAACTTGTGTATGTGTGTTTTTAGGGGGTGGGGGGAAGAGATGCGTTTGGGATGGTTACTTCTTGCCACACGTAGGAGTAATACAAGAGAACAATTGATCAGCTATTCAGGGATTGGCACAAAACAAACACTAAATGAAACTGTAAGACATAATGACTTGAAAATGAATCATGTACCAGGTGACTGGTGGTTGCCAAAAGCAACGAGAAAAATATTCCCAAGAACGATAAAGGCTGTGGCAACCATTACCCTGCAAAAGACAGCAGTTTTAATACATAGAGATGTACTTAGAAATATGTGTAAAATGGATGTCCAGACAGCATTACAGTTATGAAAATTTATTCTCACTTCAGATTATAACGTACTTAACAGTCACCATTTTGTTTAACACAAAGTAAGCAAAGGCAATGTTGGATACAAACTGAACAGAACCCAGTGCCGCAAGAAGTGACTGCACAGAAGGATACAAGAAAACAAAACTAATTAGAAATAACAGACTCATACAGATATGTGTTGAAGCATGTTGCAGATGTTGAAATTTCAGTATTTATCAGTACTAATCCTACTTTGTGGATTCAAATAACAAGGCTAACAAAATATAGTTTATACTGACCTGAGCAGCATATCCGAAGGATACGAAATTTAGGCAATTACCAAGAGCGAAAAATAAAAAGCCTGTATATGAAGAAAGCTATATTATTTTAAGTCCTGTGTCGTAATCCACTGTACAAACTAGAATGTCCAAAACCGTTAGAACAGATGAAGCACTGAGAGAGAGAACTGTACCAATTCTCCATGTCTGATATTGTATAATAGGCTTCAAAGGAAGCTTTCCATTTCCTCCATCACTTCTAGTATTGAATGTCTCTCTCTCTGCCAAAACAGAAATAAACATTCTGACACTTGCATCATGGTATAAATACATTTACCAGCATTAAATTGCTGCAAAAGGAACACAGGTGGCTGAAACTTGCTTTTTCAGACTAGACAGCATACGAGAATTGGAAACGCATGAAATGTAGAAGTTTTCGCATAGATCAAATAAAACTTTGAAAAGTAAAGATCTAACTAATCAGGATTTAGCGGGAAAGGTGTGGTTTGTATTGTTGCTTTGCAAGCCGCATGTTGATTGTTCAAGCAACGATGTGCAGTAACAATTAGAGTAGAAGTGCTAAAAAGAGGAGAAAGCATACACACCCAACTAAATGTACAAAAACTAGTGGAACAGATAGAAAACTAGCGGGAAAGTCATCACAATAACAAGTGGAAGGTTATAAATTTGCCTAAAGATTGTTATACACAATCACAATTCATAATGGTTCGACAAGAAGAAGTGAATGAGCAAATACACACAAGATAGCCACCCAAAGTAATAGAGTACGGAGAATAAACCTCGTTATGCCCCAATTTGAGAAGGTTAGTTCCAAAGTTGATGGCAATGCTGCCAAAAAGGTTAATGAAAGCTCCAACGACCCACTCCCCCATGGATTAGAAAGAGATGTGAAGCCGTGGCTGCATGCAGTTGAGATGTCAAGTTGCGAACCAATATTACTTACTGAACCTGGCACAAGTAGAATACAATCACATATAGAGCGCGATTAGCAAGAGAAACGCTTGAGGAATTCCCAATGTCTCGCAGCTGAGTGTTTGAAATATGAATACAATCAATCAATCAATCGTATTGCACAATTACAGACAATCTGACAGATGTAATTCTATATGATATGATACAAAAGTGAAAAAAATGACAAGTATGTATCATGTAAGGAGGTAGGGAGCCGTGGCTGCATGTTGATTACAACGTCAAAGAAAGCACAATCACATCTCATCAATAATCAATCAATCCCGGTTTGGCGGTTTCTGGTTTCGGATGAAATAATTAATAATGATTATCATTTCGATTCGATTAGATCAGGAATCACAATATGAAATCATAAATACATTTAACAAACAAATAAATAAACAAACAAATAAGAAGAAAGTTATAGAAAGAAACTAACATTTGGAGCTACGGAGCTTAATTTACCTCTCTCTCTCGGACAAGTTGGAATTTCGATCGAGGCGGATCCAAATTGTGAAGGTAAGGTTTTTCTTTTCTACCTAGTGTCTGTTTAATCTGAGTGTTGTTCCCGTTCGGGTGGGTGGGGAATAATTCCGATTCCCGAAGAGAGAAGGAGAAAATAACTGTAATCCAGAATAGAATCCCAGATGCGATGCGATGCGAGATCAATCGATCGATGTAAGAAATTTGAGAATGAGGAGGAAGGATTAGGGAAGAATGAATGCCAGAAACAAGAAAAAAGAAAGAAGAGTTGGGGCAAAGGCAAAGAAGAGTTTTCCTCGTCTCTTTTTCTTCTAATAAAAGAAAGAAAAGGACTTATTTCCTGCGTTTATTTATGTTTATGTAAATGTAAATGTTAATATGTTATGTAAGCAAGACGAGGGAGAAGAAGACAGAAAAGAAAGAGTTGTCCGGTCAATAGCCA